CTATCCCCCTGGGGACAGCGAGATCCCCCTGGGGACAGTGCCATTCCCCTGGGGACAGCGACACTCCCCCTGGGGACAGTGCCATCCCCCTGGGGACAGTGCCATCCCCCCGGGGACAGCGACACTCCTCTGGGGACAGCGCCATCCCTCTGGGGACAATGCCATCCCCCTGGGGACAGCGACACCGGGCCCGCTGCGGGAATAAAGATGCTGAGGCCACGCAGTGCCCGAGCGTGAGTGACACGGGGGTGACACGGGGGTGACACGGGGGGGGACAGGGCGGGGACAGGGCGGGGCTGGTGGCCCCGCTGGATGTGTCACCGCGGCGGGGTGGCCGCTCTTGCGCCACCAGCGCGATGGGGACACAACGGGACATCCCCGGGCGGGGGTGACGCGGCCCCTTCCGGGATCCTGTGGGGACCGCCTGGGGACACTGTGGGGACAGCGCGGGGACAGCGCGGGGACACCGTGGGGACACCGTGGGGACAGGGAGTGGAGGACAGTCGGGACAGGTCACCGTGGGGACAGGACACACGGGACCTTGGGGACATGGGGACACCGTGGGGACACCGTGGGGACAGGACACACGGGATCTTGGGGACAGGGGACACCGTGGGGACAGGACACACGGGATCTTAGGGACAGGGGACACCGTGGGGACACCGTGGGGACAAGGGAGGTGGGACACCAGGGACAGGGAGATTTTGGGGACAGCGCTCACGGTCACAACGGTGACAAGGTGGTGGCACCGCGGGGGACACATGGCAGAGCCAGGCACAGGGGACAGCGCAGGGGACATCCCCGCCAGGGGCACGTTTGGGGACGCTGGCAGCAGGTGACATTTCGCCATCGCTCGGTGTCGTTGTCACCCGTCCCGGCAATTACCGGGGCGGGCTCTGTCCCCCGCCCCGCCCGGCCCCATAAAGCCACTGTCACCTGCGGGGGACACGGCCCAGGGGACAGGAACCGGGAGGTGACACATCCGCAGGTACCGCTGGGGACGGGGACCCGCTCGGGGACAATCCCGCTGGCACCTGGCTGTCACCCGTGTCACCCGTGTCACCCGTGTCACCCTCTCCGCAGGCCCAGCCATGTCCCGCGCGTCCAGATCTGCCCGCAGGTGAGTGGTGACAGCGCGGGGACAGTGTGGGGACAGTGTGGGGACAGCGCTGTCCCCCCCGCTGGTGGCGGGGAGTGTCCCCTCCCCTCAGAGGGTGTCACCTCCCTGACCCCGCTGTCCCCACAGGAGGAGACCGCGGGGACACCGCCGGGGGATCACGGCGGGGAGCGAGGGCGTCATCGACCCCGACATGGTGGCCTTGTTCGAGATGTTCCTGCCATCGAGTGGGTACAGGTGTCCCCGTGTCCCTGTGTCCCCATGTCCTTGTGGTGTCCCCTGTCCCATATCCCTACATCCACATGTCCTCATGTCCCATGTCCCATGTCCCCATGTCCCCGTGGTGTCCCCATGTCCCCATGTCCCACATCCCTGTGTCCCCATGTCCCCATGTCCCCATGGTGTCCCCCTGTCCCCATGTCCCCGTGGTGTCCTTGTGTCCCCATGTCCTTGTGGTGTCCCCTGTCCCATATCCCTACATCCACATGTCCTCATGTCCCATGTCCCATGTCCCCATGTCCCCGTGGTGTCCCCATGTCCCCATGTCCCACATCCCTGTGTCCCCATGTCCCCATGTCCCCACGTCCCCACGTCCCCATGTCCCATGTCCCCATGTCCTCATGTCCCCGTGTCCCCATGGTGTCCCCATGGTGTCCCCACGGTGTCCCCACGGTGTCCCCATGGTGTCCCCACGGTGTCCCCACGGTGTCCCCACGGTGTCCCCATGGTGTCCCCACGGTGTCCCCACGGTGTCCCCACGGTGTCCCCATGGTGTCCCCACGGTGTCCCCATGGTGTCCCCACGTCCCCAGGGTGTCCCCGTGTCCCCATGGTGTCCCCACGGTGTCCCCACGGTGTCCCCACGGTGTCCCTATGGTGTCCCCACGGTGTCCCCACGGTGTCCCCATGGTGTCCCCACGGTGTCCCCACGTCCCCAGGGTGTCCCCGTGTCCCCAGGGTGTCCCCGTGTCCCCACGGTGTCCCCACGGTGTCCCCACGGTGTCCCCGTGGTGTCCCCACGTCCCCATGGTGTCCTTATGGTGTCCCCACGGTGTCCCCACGGTGTCCCCATGGTGTCCCCACGGTGTCCCCGTGTCCCCAGTTACACCGCTGGCCTCCTGTGTGCCGCGGCCGTCGCCTCGTCCGTTCCGTTACATGGTGCGGGACACGGAGCAGCAGGGGCTGTGCCTGTGGGACGGGCACCTGGTGGCCACCACCCTGCAGGGTGCCAACGCCAGCCAGGAAGGTGGGTGACACCCCGGGGACATCCCTGCGCGTCCCCCCGGAGGGGACGGCGGTGACGCCACCCCCGTGTCCCACAGAGATCATCAGCGTTGTCCCCAACCGGCACCTGGAGCGCCAGCGCTGGCCCCTCTTCTTGGGCATCCGCGGTGGCACCTGGGCACTGTCCTGTGGCACCGGGCCCGAGCCACGGCTCAGCCTGGAGGTGACACAGGGGACACGGGGGACATGGGGGGGACAGAGGGGACAGAGGGGACAGAGGGGACAGAGGGACAGAGGGGACAGAGGGGACAGAGGGGACAGAGGGGACAGAGGGGACATGGGGGGGACAGAGGGGACAGAGGGGACAGAGGGGACAGAGGGGACATG